GTACTATAAGTGTATAATCTATGGTAACCATGTACAATAAGTTTATAATTTATGATAACCATGCACAAAAAGTTTATAATCTATGATAACCATGCACAAAAAGTTTATAATCTATGATAACCATGTACAATAAGTTTATAATCTATGATAACCATGCACAAAAAGTTTATAATCTATGATAACCATGCACAAAAAGTTTATAATCATACCCATTTTGGTAGTGACTGCATCATGCAAGATGTTTATAGCATCACTTATAACATTATACTGACAAAATGTGATGAAATAAAAAAAAAGTTTTCATCCAAATAATAACAAGGTATTGTATTGAATTTTTTCGAATAGAATACATAATTGCATTAATATGAAGCATCTTCAAAATGATATTGGTGATTTGGACTCTAATGTTAATATAATGTTCCCTATCTTATTACTGTTTATCATATTCATGTTTTGGATTGGTTTCTCGATATTGTAATATGATATTACATATTTTCTATTTTCAATAATTTTTATATAGCTCCTACCTACATTTTTGGAACTAATCACAACTTTTTTATTCTTTCCTTTTTGGGGGCAGAGGGAGCTCACACATTAACTAAAACTGTTGTGCATTCTAAAGTTGGTGGCTTGTCAGCTTTTACAAAAAAGCGAAGTGCATGTATTGGATGCAAAGCTTTGTTACCCAAGGATGGATTAGCTGTGTGCAAACACTGTGAACCAAGAGAGGCTGAGCTTTATCAAAAAGAGGTATGTTATCATGATTATCCTTAGATTCTCTTTGGTTCTCTCTGGTAATGATTTAACAGGCAATTTTACATCCATCACTCAGTCCATCACTGGGTATTTTGAAATCTGATCATAAAATTAATCAATGAGCATATTAAAATTATTATTTTCACTTGTTGAATATTGTCAAGTTAATCCATGCATGTGCCAGTAATGGTTGCATGTAGAAAAATAAAAACTGGGGCATCAGCTTTGTGGTCTGCCAGTCAGCCAACTTTTTATCGGATTGTGAAATCAATCAACATACTTGATATATACCCTAAATTGCTGAATTAGCAATTGATGATGGCAACATTTGTGAGTTAGCGTCATTGTAAATTGCTTGGGAAAATTTATTTATTTTATTTTTAAGTTTTGTGTGGAATACAATATATATGTTTTGGTTTACGTTGTGACTAGTAAATTTAATATATGTTGTTTATCTTTGTTGATTCTTTGTTTTTGCTTTGTTTCTCCAGATATCTAATTTAAGTGCTTTGGAAGAAAAGTTCTCTAGATTGTGGACTCAATGTCAGCGTTGTCAAGGTAGTCTTCATGAAGATATTTTGTGCACAAGGTGAGAAAAATTACCAAATTTGTAAATCTCTGTGTCTCTCAAGATTTCTTTTAGTGTCAGTGGTTCACAGTCAGTAAATCATAATGAAACTTTCTATGCCAAACTGTCACAAAAGCATGTGTAAGAGTATACAATGGTATAATGTCTGAGTGCATACTTCGAGGTATCCTCGTAATAACCTTATTATTATACATCTTTTCTTCCCAAGGATACATCATGGGAATGCCGAAATCTAAACATTTTAGAACAGAATCAGCGAACTTCTTTTTCTGGAGTTAGGGTCAAACCCTGGTGGCAGCCATATTTGTTTTGATTATTAGATGACGCTTATTTGTGTAATCATTCCATATTTGGAATTCACGATTCCTAATATGGTAGGATGAAAATGCCCTGTAAAATACTGCAAAAGTATGGCACACTGTAACTTATGGTGTTACGGTGACAAATGTATAATAATTATATATAAGAGTACAGTACGGTATACTCAAAAGTTTCAAATTTATTTCATTCAGGTCATGTACTATTTCACTTCGCTTCTTTCTTTTTTTTTTGCTTTTTAGTCGTGACTGTCCAATATTTTATATGCGCAAAAAGGTCCAGAAAGACTTGGCAGACCAAGATGTCATTGTGCGAAGATTTGAAAATTCTGACTGGTAAAACATGAAGTGTACTGTAAAGTTTCATGAATGTACAGATTTTATACTTCACTTTGTAATAAACATTTGATGAACAAGTCTATTCACACCTTTGTTTTATAACTCTTCCCCTTTGTATCTCTTACCATGTATGTTCTATAGTCAGATTGACCTTCAACTTTTTTTTTTACCAACTTTATAAGACCAAATTTAAATAATTTAACAGGGTATTTTGCTGACGGGTCCAAGTTGTGACATGTTCTGAGGTGTCTATTACTATGGTATTTGATGTGAAACAAGTCACAATAGATGGTAAAACCCCTGGTTTACACTCCACACTCACTGATGGTTACTGTCAATTCCTCATTGTATTATTTGCAGTAGATTATACAGTGTACACTCTAAACCAATTTTATACTAAGCAACTTTGCTATAAGTCTTGTTGAATGTTGATGTATGAAATTAACAAATCGTCTGTGGATGCAGTTTTTCCCCATTCATTTCAGCTATTCATCAAAGATTTCAGCAGGCTATGTATTAAATATTAAGTTGCTCAAAACGATGACATATTACTGTGCAGCCTGGTGAAATCACAAAGCATGTTGTAAAGGGAACACTGGGCTCTATGCCCACAATATTGTGATGGTATGAAATCATACATGGAATTGCTCTGTAATTGCCAACATTTCTCTGTAATGCAATTTTCAATATTGCTCAGTTGCCACCTTTCTTGCACACATGACTGAAATTGATGGTATAGCAAAAACTGAGTAAATTCACTTGTTCATGAATGTTGAAAACTGTTGTAGGTATTCGTATGGAGTGGTTGATGGATAGAACCACTTCATACTAGACTAATTGCAATGTATTTGTAATTCTTTTCTTGATATGTGAAATTAATATTACCAATTACTGGTATTAAAATGAATTGTAACAATCGTGAACATGAGTTTTTAATTCAAAATAAAGTACCTTAATGTCATTATTTCTCACTAAAGATATTTTAGAACCCTGTTGACCAAATCTGACATAAAATAGTTTACTGATCCAATCCAGTGTCTGACTGGCAAAAATTTTAGTTTTGAAAATGTTGTATCTATGCATGCTTTGTCAGTTTTTGTTCAAATTTGGCACATACACTATACATGACTACGACTACTTGTTTTTCGATCGGATCAAAGATGGCCGACTGGAATTCATCTTGTTTTTTGGAAATGTTGTATCATGGACATGGTTTGTCAATTTCATTCAAATTTGTAAATACATTGTACATTTAAGATTACATGTCAATGACAATTTATTTTACAATGAAATAAAAATTTGCCACCTGGTGGCCATCTTGGTTTTTCACCATACTACTATATCTCCAAGGCTTAAGGACGATTTTCATTCATAGTTGACACATACGTCATAAATATAGGAAGACATGTTCATGTCGGTTTGTTCCATAATAAGATCAAAGACTGCCAACTGTCATCAATCTTGTTTTTTTGAAAATGTGGTATCTTGGATAGGATTTCTCTGTTTTTGTTCAAATTTGATACATGTCCATGATGATTCATTCTGTATTTAATATCAAAATGACCAGCCATCTTGTTTTTTCACAATGTATTGTTTACATGTTTTTTTTTCAATTTATACATGTTAGGATGATCGACTGCCTGTAATCGATCTTTTTGACCATACTATGAAATACTATGGACAAATGAAATTCAGTTTGGATAAAAAATATATATGAATAGCATATCGTGTTTAATTTCTGACCATGTATTTTGATTTGGGAATTTATTTCAATCAATTATTCACTCGCGCAATTACAGTACTAACTATGCTTTTGTCCATATTTCTTTTGGCATGAATAACATTTCCCCCAATTCCAACTGGGACTATGTCATTAACAATGACTTGTTTTATTTTATATATTAAATAGTTCATCACTTTACAAGTAAATGTTGATTTAAAGTACTTTGAACTCTTGTACTGGCATGGGAAAATAAGATTCGAAAAAATGGTTGATTTGATGACAATCTCCAACAAAAATGTTGCATGCTTCTGAAGCCTGTTTTAAATTCGCTAGTATGCTGGCATCCACATTGTTTCTATAAATGTAATACATTTCACCTGAAATACAAGTGACTGTTCAGAAATATTTGAGCATTTGCTAACTTGCATTGAAATACAACTGTTGGGGTTTACTGATGTATGTATGCATGAGTAGCCATGTTGGTTTCAAATGTAACGACCACTCTTGTGGTCAGCATCTTTTAAACATCATTCATGTGTGATTAATGACTTGTACCATGACCATCTTTAAATAAATGCACACACTCTTCCTGCCACATTGCTGTCAGTAGAGTTGTCATGCATATCACATGACAACTAATGTATTTTCAAATATCTGTTTCGCCATGCAAACCAAATTGCTCAAAGTGTAGGTGTTGTATGTTATGACAACTGATATGAAAGTCGTGGTTTGAACCCAGATTGACTAACTTTTTTTAATAGTTGAGAAAGTAATTTCATTCACCTCCAGAAATTTCAGAAATGCACGACGCTAAGTATGCAATTACTAGTCATCTGCGCAAACTGAAAATATTGTTATTAATATGCAAATAAAAACAACTCTTGATTACTAATCTGCATATGACACAAACTGTGGCTGATTACAAATCTTCACGGAGATAAATTGCAAGTGTAGAGTTACAGAAATAAATGCACGGCCAGAACAATATTTCACATAACCAAGTTTGAAACAAATAATTACTTTAATACAGCATATATAATTGTATTCATCTCTTGACTGCATTATATAGTCAAATTTTTCTCTTTTGTCTTTGTATATGTTTACATGTAACGATCAATCCAGGTACAGACATAACACAATAGAAAAACAGATTACATGATTACAAGAATCAAGTACAATGCGTAATGCACCATGTTATGTTATTGATTCTAGAGGTTGGTGGTCAGAATGGATGGTAAAGGGTCTATCACGTTGGGGTCACCATGTTATGTTATGTTGTTGGCGGCAGCCATTACTGTAAGTGTCACTCGTTGTAAACCAGAGCTGTTTTACTTGAATTAAATGAGTTCAAACTTTCATGCTGCATCAATAACATAACACATCCAGTGTATATGTAGTTATATTGAAAATGTTATAATCTATGTAACCACTCGTGGGAAAATTGCGGACGACGCCCTCTATCTCGATTACACCGTTCATTTGTTTTTAATCGAGAGCGTTACGTGGCCATGTGTTGCCGGTCCATGCAGTGAATCAGTGATGTGCCTTCCGTCATATATTTGGCATTCTAGTGTCCGTATACTTTATTTATGCATTCGTAAACCCGATAAGTAGAATGTTTGAAAGGCGGTGGTGCCGCGTTGCGTTCGATATGCCCGGTCGATACAGGATTCATGGCAACGTATATACAACACGTATAAAGTACATATTTACGCGAAATTCGAACGACCACCACCCTTACTATTAAGGAATATTGCTACAAATACGCTGGTTTTTATGCAACTCTCTTGCTCGTGGGATACGTTGCGGGGGACCAGAGATGATGGCCGCAACGTAATGTTAGAATAGCCTGAGCGGCCAGTAAGACCTGCCACAGTTGAGGGACTGTGGACCTGCTAAACTGCCAGTGCAGTGCAGCAATGTTTGATCCGTGCTATTTGAACATCCTAATAATAATAATAATAATGTTCGTTTTTTCGTTGTATCTTATATTTAGTATACGTGTATGTTGATACGAGGTGAACACAGCTTCTACGAATTTCGGCGTGCACGGATCAGCAATCGTCGTAACCATTGCATCATTATGTCGCGTCTCGAAGCAAAAATAGGCCGGGTCTGCATGCTGAGAATGTGATCAGCGTGAACTTGAAACTGTAATGATCCGGTGAAATAGGCCAGTTGACACATGAAGATGCCCCTGGCTATGAACATAATTCCATCATTCCGTTTTACAATGTGTATAATATTTCGTCTCATCCTCTTTACCGTTTTCCTGGAATACGTATCGTGCATATTTAATGCAGCTGTTATATAATATATTTATTTGTTGAAAACTAACGATACCAAACTCTAGATAATTACCATGAATGATATTGATTTAAGGATAAAACACTCCGTGTATTTCGACGAGTTCATGTGTACTGTCATAAGTTAATTGGTATAACCTTGGAGCATTGTATCTCCATAGTACAACCTTACATAAAACAGTACCATATGAAATAGCCTGACATGTAGGCGCGAGTGGCGCCCTCTCCGGTCGAGCGGCTTCAGGTTGGAGCACCGTGGAGGGCGCAACTCATGCGATCTTGTCAGGCTGCACATACAAGTTAAAAGCGCCTAGCAATCGATCTGTGAAACATTTTAATAACAGTGGTGCTTAAAGATTTAGAGAAATCCAAATAAATAAATTCAAATATGTTCTTTTGGATGATAAAGTATAATGAAAGCTAGAGGTAGTATGTGTTTTAAATGGCAAGGCGGCAAATTTTAAATGCATTTACTTATTACCATCGTACGTTTTTTATTATATTCCTATCTCCACGATGAAGAGACAGTAAACTAAAACAACTTCGAACTGACAAATTGAACCCTGTGACATCAACCAGGCCAAACCACTAAACTAGTAGTGATGAGATTAGCAGCACACCAAACCACACAACTACTTACAAGAAACTTCGTTGAAATACAAACATAGATGCAAGATGTCATCGGTTGTATTCGTACTATCCATGACTAGTTCCTTGCGTTATATCATTTCTACCTCCATGGTTATATACTAGTATTGACGATCTACCTAATTTGAATAACTTGTCAATTTAATGTTAATCAAAACATTTCGGTTATCACACTTCTATTTGCAAATATGGCACCGTCGTTGTGAAGGACTTTCACAGGCATTTGAACAATTAAACTTGGTAATTGACGCATACATTTGCCGACCACAGATTCAGTGCGTTGTAATTGCCCTTAGAAATATTGTCTCAAAGATCTAGGGAGCGCTCGTCATTGTATCGGCACGAGAGCCAATTTGACCAGAGTTGAATGACCTCAATTGACAAAATTCGTGACCCAATTGATAACCAAGCACATCAAGACAATAATGATTTCCAGTGTGCCGATGACGTCGTTTTTAGATGAATCCGTACGTGGTTGTCGAAATGAACGCCTCATGGCCTCGCGTTACGGCGTGCGAACATGAATAAATCGGTTATCGAAAAAAATAGATTACGCAGTGCTCCGAATGACTCTTGGAGAATGAAATGTTCCAGTTGGAATTATACTTGTGTTTGCGCTATGTACATACACAGAAGATACAAAAAACAAGTGTACTTGTGGAAATGAATAATAATCAAATGAAAACGTGTTTTAAATTTAATACCAAGCTTTTCAGAATTAAAACTGAACGGAATTGTGAAATCGTCACTTCAGTAAATTAAATAAAAAGTATAATATTTATTAGAATTGCCTATTTAAAAATAAAGTTTATTTATTTATTTTTAATTTCAAGCTCGTGGTATTGAATGGTTTCGTCGTTGCTGTTTCGATCGATTTGATTCGTCTCCATTTCACACCGCTCATGCGCACATCGCACACCCTGTAACTCAGCTGAACTCAGGTTTGATATGATGACTGACTGTCAGCAATTGGGGGATCGACAATTGTGTTTGCGGGGAGTTGTTATAACGAACTATATTTTGTCGTAAATTGACCATTATCTCTATCCGGGGCCCTTTGGGAAAAAGGCTCGTTGTCTGTTTCTTTGAGAATGCTTACATGTATACTATTTCGTTCGCAACCGCCAAGAAATATGGTTTTACAGGCGTTTTGTTAAATCCCGCCTGTAATATTAACTGCCGCTCCCTTACCTAATTAGATTAAAATAAACAAACCCCAGTGAGTAAATAAACAAAGAAGCCCCGCCTTATCCGGTCACGTCACGTTTTTAATTTCGTTACCTAGGTGACCGATGTGACGTCAAGATAGGGTCATTCATAAAGTGTAGCATCACATGGCAGTGCCCTGTTTGATTGGTTGCTTATATCCGAAGTGACGGGCCTCTTTTATGAATGATTCCAGTGCATGTATTTTTCCAATATTTTCGGATCCGACAGACATTTACAATTTTGTCACTACAATGGTTATATATTTTAATCGATTGAATTAGGGATGATTTTCACTCTGTTCGCTGATGTGAAATCTTTTAGCTGATTAGCATAACATAAGCTCGATTCGTTGGTACATTGATTTCAATAAATATCCCTCCGCAGTCATTGTGACAATTATTTAAACATTCTAGCCACTTGTTTTATACATTAACTCAAGAAAATGAGTCCAAATATTATTTTTTTAAGATAACGGTGCACCTGAAGTTAATATCGTTAAGTATTAACTTGTTACACGCCAAAGTCTCCAGGGACTATGTTTCGGGCGACATGTATCCATAGTTAGTGGTGCTATGGCGCCTTACCCATTTCCTCTGATTCAGTGTACTCGCTGAGGGTATGGACGTTTCGAACGTTTTATACCACCCTTTTTTTAATTAACAGATTATGTACCAGGACTATAACAACAATTCAAATATGTGAATCAACGGGAGTATATGTATTAACCCGGTTTATGATGGCGGGAAAGCATATTGATGAGTAAGTAGCTGTTTTTTGTCGAGGTCACTCCGAGTTTGGAGGGCTGTATATAAGTTGACGTGTTCTGTGCTTCGTTTTGAAGTTTCATCACTGAATGTCTTGATGATCGGACTAGATTCTCTCACCCCATGTCACAGTGTTACTCGCCAGTCGTCTTAGTCGATACCGTCGTACCAGAAGGTGAACCGGATACGATGTGGGGTGTTGTCAGTTCTCTATCTAGCCTCGGTTCTGTCAGGGTTGCGATGTACCATACCAAGACAGTCCCACATTCGTTTCATTCATAAAAATATACCCTTGTGTCGTTTTATCTATATGTTGAATCGTTAAATTGATTGTATTGCCGTGTCGAACAATTGGACATCACTGAAAGGGCTCACATGGTCAAGGCTGGTGCCTTCCCGTTGTGATGATAAATGACCACATATTGGCGAAGGATTCACCTATACTATTTATTATAAACCAACCTATGTAGCTCAGTAGCTATTTCAAAACAAGGTCACCAGTTGTCTAATCATATGTGTGCGGTTGGCAGCAAATCGTCCAGGATTGATTCTACTTACATTCGTATGTGTAATATTACGAATTATTCAAAACTGTCATAATCAATATTTTGACGTACGTGTACATGTGTTTGTTGTTACCCCCCGGAAGAATCAACGTGCATCCCTTATCGGGGGCCTCACTGTTGTCCGTCTGGCATGGCCTCATTGACCAGGTCATTCCAGCAAAGTGTATTGTGGTCAGTGGCATAAACTAACCGAAGCTGTTTATCACCATCGACAGGATTAGAATATCTCAAGCTGTTTATAAGATCATGGTATTATTCTGTATGTATAAACTTGGAGTTTGTAAATGCTATACTTTGGAAATACATTCATGTATTATCCATAACCATATTTTTCACTGACTGCTGACATTTCATCCAATGTCCTACATGTAAAGGGAATGGCACTAAGGAACTTGATGCTACTTTGATGACATGTGAGAAGATAATGTAACTCCTAATGTGTGACTTCATTTCCATTACAGTTTCAGTTGTCTTTTCATCCTGTGATGGAACATGTGCAACTAATATCTGTAGGGCACATGCTACTTTTTAAGATTATGCATTTTTCTGCTATTGATAGTCATTACTATTTCCATGCATTATAAAATTGTGTATTTATTTTTGCAAGGGCTAGTTGTCATACTAGTTTGAACTAAAAATAGGATACAACATGCTGTGGAACCATGATTATTCTATTTTCATTGAAGCCTTTAAGTTACTGACTTGCTCAAATATAAACATTGCAAATTAACTTTTTTACTTCAAGTCATGTCAGTTTCGTTGAGGGCTTCTCCTACCTTTAGTGCATCTCTTCTTTGATTTAATGTAGTGAAATGATTCAATTACCACTGCTGCAAATAGTTTAATTTTGCCAGCGACTTATTTTCATGATTCACAAAAAATGTGTGTTCACAAAATGTTTAGGGTATTCTTTAGTCCCAAGGAATGTTCTCTAAGTAGGAACATTTTGTGTAGTAAAAATCACTGTTTTACCCAAGTCTGAATTCCTTATTGGTTATATGAATAGTATGCACTATAACTTTTTGTTGCATGATGGTTGGTGTATTTGAACCATAGTACTGAATATTCAGTGATTTAATACAGTGTTTCTTTCCTCAACTCTATTACTGTATATAGTATTTTCAACTATTGATATTCCTTGAAGCATTTACTTCTGTTGTCTTGATGGAATTGCATGTCTCAATGTGATTATTCCAATTGATTCGATTTTCTTTCATATTTACTAAATTTTCAGTTTCATAATAATATTATTTAAATACCTTATAAAATACAAGCCTATGATTAATGGTGTTGAAGAGGACAACATTTTATGAAAGTTTCTGTTACTGTCACTGCTACCGATTGTGATTGCGCCTTGCAAAGTAGAAGTGGTTTACAGTATGCTGCTTGAATGTTTGTGGAATGTTGATGTGCATGTACTGTATTGCTCTAGTACTAGCAAATAAGCTTGCATAAATAGCAGAGGTGTGTCTTTGCTCAATATGAGTCGTATTTTAATGATCCAGTATACAATAAATGCTTTTCAAATTGTACTTGTAATAGGGATATGCTGTATTTGCATGTGATTTTACTTTTACACTTTGATTAGAGTCCATAACGTAAAGTAAGGTAATCTCACATTTGCCAAAACAAGAAACACAAGGCACAACACAAGTATCACCTTTTGTCTCATTTTTATGCATTTTTGTCTCATTTTTTTTTGGAACCAAATGGTCACAATTCCCGATTGGTTGCAGGGTTGCTCAAAAATTTTATTTGATATTTTTATGACTTTCAAAGGAATGGAATGGAGTTGTAGATGTTTTGCTGATGTGGTAGTGCGCGCACACACACACACACGCACACGCACACGCACACGCACACACACACACACACACAGAATAGTATACTGAAAATGATCTCTCATAGAGGTGATTCTTTTCTTTATTTTCTTTTAGCCTGAGTGGTCAATGAACCTTCATCTACAATTGATCTTTATCAATTTATTTTAAAATGTTCAAAGTCTCCTGTGATGGTTAGCTTCTGGTTGTTCAACTGATTTGGTTGGCTATCATGATGATGTGTGAATAGAATACTTATAATTGTTGATGTCTAAGTTGCTTGTTTTATTCCATACCTACCATATGTAGATTTTTTTTTTTTTAGTTTTATATCTACGTGGGGTAATCAAATTAAATTTTTTTTTAAATGATTTTTGCCTAACATTTAACAAAAGTTTTATAACCTGTCTATGCTTTAACATGACTGAAAATGCAAAAACTATTGATTTTCACAGTCAGATTTTGTCTCACAACTTAAATCAGTGGAAGGGATGTTTTGATGTTAAATTAGCTGCTGTGTGAACACTTGAAGGTTAAGTTCTGCTCTTGGCTAATGTCTTCAAGATAAGAAAAAACTGGATACACCTTCATCTAAAAGTAAGGTGAGCCTGAGGTAGTAAGGTTTTCTGGAATCAGAGACCTTGGTAAATAAATAATTGGGGGATGTATCTGCTCGACTGTCCTTAAAAAAACGCACTTTCTACCTTGTGGTAGACTGTTTGAAAGAGTTTGTGTACAATGTGATACCCACGCAGGATATCTGCTTGTATTGATGACAGCCAGTGTCTTTTGCCCAGTTACTCAATAACGTTAAAAGTGAAATAAAATCACTCTCCCCCCTGTAAATCCACTCTACATAGTTGATTATTTATTCTCTTTGGAGACGTGTTAGGTGGACTTTTACAGGTGTGATGTATTTTGTATCTGCATGTCATTATTCATACCCCACCAAATCCCTATTGCTATTAACACCATCATGTTAATTAATCACGTTAAGTTAGAACACACCTGTTTTTCCTCAACAGGAAAAATACAAATTATTACATCAATATCGCCACAATTTCTCTCTATTTTTGTATGATCCCATATATTTGTTTGGACATATTTATAGGAACTGAGTCGTTTACCAAAGCTCTGGGGGCAAGGAAACCATTATGGTCAAAGGGCAACTGAAATATTTGGGTCATGCTGTGTCCATCATTTAGCCAACTAGGCTGACCTCCCTGAAAATGCTTGAGTGATAATATTGTTCTTTCATGTATGTCTTTTCCAATATGTTGACAGTACATTAATTAAAAAAAAGAAAACTTTAAAACAAATATTTTCTAAAAAATTACTAAAACTCGAAAACTTTTGGGTGGTTTTTTCTCGTATTTTGTGCTAGAAATTCATTTGTGGGCCGATTGATGGTATTGCTACCTCTGACTTGTCACATTGAATACAATTTAAGCCAACCACTGGGGTAAAGTCAGGGATATTGTTACTAGAAGTATTCATCGTAATTTATGCTGTAATGGTATGCATGTATTGGTACCCCATTCAGTAATATGCTAATTCGGTCTGCTAATAAGTTTTGGATTTCAATTGGCTTTTGCTCTGAAAATGCATAGTGGGCAACTTTTGAAAGTTGATGGGAAACAGAAACTGTCTGAAACCTGATTCTATAATCCCACTCATCATTTTGAAAGCTGGACACTGCTAGATTAGGTTTGTAACTGAATGCTAGAATCTGAATACTGTAAAGGGGGTAATTATTTACTGGGTTTTAATTTAGCTTATTTCGCTGACTGGAAAATGCGCTAAATTAAAACACAGTGAATATGTAAAATTTAGCATAGAACACATTATCTAAATGACGAAACCGTGAATTTAAAACCCACTGAATATGCCTGAAATGGTAAATCAGTGAAATTTAAACCCAGTGAAAATTAGTCATTTTACAGTATTCACTTGTCCAAAAAACAAAGGAGTATGGAAAATATTTAAATATCTATTTCTATATTGGCTGTACTTTACTACCTTTGGCATATCTCTCTTTTTCTCACTAAAGTCTACACAAATCACTATTGGTAATCATATGTACACTATATGAATATAACAAATGATGATATAGCCCACATTCATAATATATAATTTTGTTTTTTTCATCTTTTGATATGTGACACTGTTCATAACATGGAACGGTATAGACATAGACATCTGTGATGAGAATCATAACTCTGTTTACATCAGTGATCTTATAATATCAGTACATGGATTGAAAGTAGTCAAGGTTAGGTTCAAACTTGTAATGACCAGAATTTTTATGGAATCGTAACTTATTTTAATATTCACCTGTTCAAGTTTAACCAATCATTGTTTTACTTCGCTTTATAGAGGCACATTTTAAATTTTGTACAAAAAAAGTTTTTAATTTATTTTTAAGTAGAGGCCATGAAAATTTGCTGGTCTGGTACCTCAGACTAGCACAGTGTCCATCACTGCACTGCCACTGTTTTTTTTGCACTGCCAAGTTTAATTCTTCACTAAATCTGACAGTGACGGTTTTAAGTATACAACTGGAAAGAAGTTTAGTTTTTGTATATTTATGACAAACATTGCCTGTATTA